CAAAGCCATCATCCTCTTCTTGAGCTTCTCGCGGACGAGGGCGAATCGCGCCGCGCCGTTGAGATTCTGCCTCTTCCCCTCCTCGAAGCGACCGATGAGGTGCTGGGCCTCGCGGACGTGGACCTTGAGGAGCGTCACGCGGTTTGCGTTGGCGTCTTCTCGTCGGCCCACATCTTTCGCCGTGCCCTTGAGGCCCTTGGCGGTCTTCGCGGCGGTCGCTTTCTCGACGTCGGCGGCGAGCTTGCGCGGCGCGTAGCCCTCGGGAATCTCGACGACCGTCAGGAAGATGGCCAGCGTCTCCAACTTCCCTAGCCCACCCAAGACGGAAATGTCGCCCTTGAGCATCGGCGGGAGGCGCCGCAGGTTGACGTGCACGAGGTTCGCGCAGCCCGCCAACCCCCCAATCTCCCCGACGATCTTCGTCCGCTCCAAATCCAACCTCTCGAGGTTCGCCAAGCGACCAAAAACCTCAAAGCCGCCCGTGACCCGCTCGCAGCCGCAGAGGTGCAGATCCTCGAGCCGTTCGAGCCCTTCCAGCCCCCCGACATCCCCGCCGACGCTCGTGTGGCTCAGGTTCAGGAAGCGCAACCGATGGCACGCGGCGAGCGGCGCGAGCAACCCGCCGAGCGCGTTCCGGGAGAGGTCGAGGACCTCTAAATTCATCAACTTCACGAGGGGCTCGAGGTCCGCGTGGACGCGCCGCCACGTCGCGCCGACGCCGCGGTTCTTCGGAGGCCCGAGACCGAGCCGCGCGTCGCGGATCCGCAGCTCCACCAGCGCCCGGCAGTCCTCGAGGGGCCGCAAGCTGTTCTGCACCAGCGTCCCGTCCAAATCCAGCACCCTCAGCGCCCCCAGTCCGCTCAGGTGGCGCAGCGTGCCGCAGACGCTCGTGCCGCCGAGGCGGAGCTCCTCGAGGCCCGCGCATCTCGAGACGAATTTGAGCGTCGACTTGAGCCCCGAGCCGTGGCCGCGGAGGTCGAGGGACCGAGGACCGATGCGGCATCCGGCGAGGATGAGGAAGAGGTGCGGCGGCTCGCCTCCGTCCAGCCTTCCGACGGGGATCGCGACTTCGCGGCCGCCCAGGAGCAAATCGCTCACGTCGGCGAGGTCCGCGGCGATGGCCAGGATGTTCGATAGGTGGCCTATGGGGACAGTGGTGTGTACTCTTGAAGTACTCTTGAAGTACTCTTGAGAAAACGCGCGGGCGACCAGGAAGTTCGTCCAGCCGGGCTCGTCGCGCGAGAACGCGCCGTGCGT